GTAGCATAGTGCCTCAATCAACTACGCTATCGCGTGTCCAAAAGGAAGAAACAAAAGTCCATATCACAAAGACAAAAGCAGAGAACTTGTGTTAATTTAAACAATGATAGCAACTTCATTAGTGCAATCACGCCAACCATTGTGCCGTGAGGATTATATATATATGTACATATATTGTTTTTTTATTGCTAGTGGGGTGGGACTAAGTCCCTTATACTGCGGGCACTTCTGGCCTATTGTACCAGCCCCAGATGATAGGTGAGGGTGATTGTAGAGCAATTGATGAAATGAAGATTGGCATGGGAAACCGAAGTACTCGGAGAAAACCTGCACCAGCGCCACTTTATCCACCACAAATTTCACTTGGCCAGACCCAGGATCGAACCCGGGCCGCAGCGGTGGGAAGCCAGCGACTAACCGCTTGAGCTATGGCACGGCCCAATATATGTAAATATACTCTGGGTGTGTATGTAATAGATATGTACTACACTGTGCATTGGTTACAATATGGACTCAAAATGGATATGAGATTTGGCACTTGGAATGTTAGAAGCATGTATAGGGCAGGTTCGTTCAGAGCAGTGGCGGAAGAAAAGAAAGAAAAAAAAAAAAAGATTTAGTGGGAGTGCAGGATGTCAGATGGGACACAGGTGGCATTGCACCAGCAGGCGAATATACGTTTTTCTATGGAAAGGGGAATGAAAATCATGAATTTGGTACAGGTTTTTTCGTACATAAGAGAATAGTATCATCAGTTAAGAGGGTAGAGTTCGTCAGTGATAGGATGTCATACATAATACTATGAGGTCGCTGGTGTGGTATAAAGATTTACTATTCGTAACTGTTAGGTCAGTTGATGACGGGGAAAAATTAAGAAAAATATGTTTTGTCACGGATAAGAGTATTTATATGAACCTAACATCCTTTACTCCTTTTGGTTTATTTTGGACTTCACCCATCGTCTGGTATATAAAAGACAAAAAAAACACGATGTTTCGGAGACTGGATCTGTCTCCGTCTTCAGGTGGATAGGGAAGGATAAACGTACTTAGTTGGGCCCATTAGAAAGAGCTAGTCTCAATCACTGGACCACTGAAGTCCAAAATAAGCCAAAAGAAGTACAGTATACACCATCGTCAGAATCCTTTCAAGTCTATCTAACATCCTTTGTTCTACACTTACACTTGGCCCTATATGAAACATGTTTCCAGCCACTTCAATGCCAAATTTATAATAAAAAGTGTATTGACAGGTTTAGGAACACTGTGTATTTTTCACATACTTACCATATTCACACAACAAAACAATTTCTTGAACAACTATGCAAAAAACGTACACGTTTCAACTGCCCGAAACAACTAGATTCCGAAATAAACCAGAGACTATTAAGATCTCAGACCAGCATAAAGTCTGAATACTATATATTAACGAATCATACACTAACCTCCATGTCCCAAGCATCTTTAAAATTACATAAGAATTAACATCAATTGAACATACAAAGTTGCAGAAAAACAGATTTTAAGTGCAGACTACATACCGAAATGATACGTTCAAACTCTTGTAACTACACACAATTTACATGACAGACTGCCACAGTTAACGTGAATCAAGAATGTACAGTCAGGTTCACAACATAACCATCAGGTATCACCATCCATGCCAAATAAAACTAACACTGATCAAAGGAACTAAATGGCATTCATTCAGTTCACACCATTGACAAAGGAAATCATAGCTGCCTCAATAACCGACACTGCAGTGGCAAACATATTGTTAACAATTATCATAGGTTTCATCGTTTTGTGGCAGCATAGGAATATCACAAACCAAACTTCTTACATTATTTGAACGCGGGCTAGCCTGCATCTACTGAACTGTAAGCATGTGACACATGAATCCAAATCCTTGCTTCTGGTAGCGGCACACATAACATGAATATCGCTAGGAACATCATCAGGATCTTCCCTGGGCTGATGAAGGGGAAAACATCGGGTTCTCCGAGCAAGGAATGTCGGTTGTCCGTAAGGGCAGTGCTGTCATCCTAGCAGTCACTGCTATATATACATCTAAAAGTCAATTCACAGATGATGGTAATCTTCAGAGCCTCCACAGATGTTCCCACAGTTGAAAGGTCATTTGGCCGGTCACGGTAGCCGAGCGGTCTGAGGCATGTACTGTTTTCGCTCGCTTGCAAACCGGGATCGTGGGTTCGAATCCCACTCAGGGCATGGATATTTAGTTTGTGTGTGTGAGTTTTTCTGTGTTTGTGAACAGGTAGAGGCCTTGCGACGAGCTGATCACCCGCCCAAGGAGTCGTACCCAAGATCTAGAAAAACCGAAGTGAACGGAGAAGTTCATGGAGGTAGGCGTAGGCCCACTGGGGCTGTAATGCCAAGAAAAAAAAAAGGTCATTTGAACTTCAGTGGAAATAAATGGAAGCAAACTTATTCTGAGGGGGGTGCTGACACAGGCAGTCAAAACTCGCCTCTCTCACTGATGGGCAGAGACACCGACAGGATCCAGCCATTCTGCGTAGGAGGGGACCGAACGAAGCCGGGGTTACACTCATTCAGGCTTGATGAAGATGCAGCTGCATATCCCCACATTTTCTTTGGTCCAGTGATTCGTATGAGAAATGTTATCGCGACGCGAGCAGCGCCTTGTCTTCCCTGTTATGTTCACTGCTGAAACTATGAAAAACGTTGTCAGTCACATCAGTAAGCGCTGTTGTAATATAGCATTCACTGCAGCACTCCCCCTGAAGTAATTACAAGAATATGAGAGAACTTCTGCACAAGTACGTAGGATTTGAGGATCTCACAGCGGAAATTATGAAGATTTTGTCTTCTGGGATTTAAAGACATTTAGTCCGTTGAAAATCAGCCCAAGTTCTGGAGGAACATAGCGCCTCCATCTTCGGGGTTGAAGAATAAGAAATGCAAGAAACCAGCGTGAAAGCAAATGGCGAACAAGAGGCAACATACGAGTATTCCTCCGAAACGTCGGTTGACTTTCAACGGACTACACGGAGTTATAGCCTAGAGGACAAAGTTCTTATGTATATAATTCGAACTTCCTGGTGATTTATACCTTTTCAAATTTGCAATAGCACTTTCAACCTCGAAAGGGCTAGGATCGTGTACTAACGGCTGAGCTGTATGGATTTCTGTCTGCCTGACAGCACTGAGCCTATATACATTCAGTAACTGAGAGAAGTAGTTCCTCCACCTATTCAAAATGTTGTGGGAATCTGCAAGCAGATCACCATTCTCATCCTTCACTAAGTTACTGCTAGGCTGGTAACCCCTTTTAAAGTAATTTATTCCTTTATACAGGTCTCTAATGTTCTTGTTCTTACTGTTCATTGCAAGCTCATCAATTTTGTCTTTCAGATATTCCCTCTTTTTGTTCCTGAAATGCCTGCTGGTTTCACGTCTTATATTGTTCAGATTATCCCCATTTAACTCGCTTGGATCCTGTAACCATTGCAGTTTATCTTGTTTCCTTTGGTCTATTAATTCTGAACACCCTTCGTCGGACCATGGCTTATGCGTCTGCAATTCGTAGTACCGCAGACTCTTTTTGACTGAAATTGTCTTTATATCCTCTCTAATAGTTTCCTAAGCCCTATTAATATCCAGAACAGCGTGTAAGTTTTCCAAAGCTGCGAAACTATTTGAGATTTCAACACAATACTGTTCTTTATTCTGTACCTCGTTCAATTCCTTGAGACTGAACCTTTCAACATGAAACTTCTGCATTGTTTTTTTTACTTACTGCCAGCCTCTCCTTAACTTTTGCCACCAGACAGTGGTCAGTATCACAGTCTGCTGCTATGAACCATCGGACATCAAATATACTTGAATGCCGTCTCCTTATCACTGAAATGGAACAAATTATAAATAAGAATAATTTATTTCTTGTTTTCAGGAAGACTAGGTTCATAATTTTATGACATTAGTACAATTCACAACTGCATTAAACTATCAACAACATCAAAACTATTGCTATGAATGCAATATGGAACTTATAAATGAGCAACGATAGAAAATGGAAAGGTATTTTTAAGAGCATTTCTAATCATGAATCGTGTTCTTTGCAGCGACATGAACACTTAGCTGAGATGACAAAGCTAAGGGCTGCATACAGAATTCACTGCGGGAAGCTCGGATAAGTAGCTGCTTACATGAACTACTGATTGCAATTGGTCATTTCCTACGTGTGAGAAAAACGGTTCCAGTATTTTTTGAACTCAATTCAAATGTTACGATTAACAACAGAAATTCTTCTTCTAGGTTCGGAAATATGGACTAACTCTATCGATTGGGTCCAACTGAATAAGCTTTTACCTGAGGACGGAGCCCATTCTCCGAAACATTGTTTTTAAATAAAAAAAATAGGACGACTTTTTACGTCCAAAAAGTCGATAATTGCATAAATTCTTCTACTTCTGTGAAAAAGTATAAAATGTTAAAATGGCATTATCAATGCGCATGCGTCCTAGTTCCGACATACCAGGTCTAGCAAAAGGTAATGTTGTCCCTGCGTGTAGCTGATTAAGCATCAAGTCATGAAATGCATGGGGGAGTGAAAGTATCGATGCACGTATTCTTAACGTCTTATTAGACGGAGGTGAGTGGCCCCTGTATTCTCGGAGAAGCAGCCCTCTATACCCACCGGATAGCATAGGCTCCACACACAACCTAAGAAATCATGGAATGCCGGATACACGGAATATCAACAGAGAAATGCATATATTTGAACTAATTTTGGAAAATTCAACAGTAACTGGAACTCATTTTAATCAAGTTTTAGAAACAATAACTTAGAAAAATCAAGACAATGAAGAAATTACTTAAACGTATCTGCCTGATGATGATCTTACGAGGTCGAAACATGTCGTAGAAGTAACATTTATACATAAAAGCGACAACGCAGTACTCCAACAGTCCATGAGCACGACAAAAAAAGCATCTCCTTGCAAATCAAATCGGCAACCAGTGCAACAGGGATATAGTACCATCTGTCTTATGTGACCTAAGATATTACATTCTACATAATCTGAAACAAAGGAATCATATTACTGATGCTTGAATAACTGAATTCTATGTTATGTATACACTTGCTCCGAGAACTCCATTCCAAAGAACTGCGGATGGATTTATGTGTGAGAAATCACCTATACTACCTGACTTTGCGGCATCAATACGTCCAAACGCCTCCCGAAGGAAAAGCTGTTGCATTAGAGTCTCTCTTAGTTTAGGTGAAAGCTTCTAGTAAACTCGATGGTTCTTCAGCGCATTCCGAAACGTCTCTCTTGGACTCACCCTGTAACAAAGGACTCCATCACACCATCACAGCTTCCTTCTTCACGATTAATTTTTAGTCTACGTTCGATCTTTAATGGAATATCTTGAGATCAGCGCATTCTACGTGTGTGTGTGTCTGCGTCCATAATTTTCAACTTCCGAGCCAGCTGACAGATATTCATGAAATGTGGTATGAACATCATGTCATTGCAAGCCACCTCACTGACTCTTTATTCATATTTACCTACAATGAATAGGCCAGACAACAACATGGCGGCTCGAGATCACGTGAGGTGCACACGGAACTATGATCGTTTAGTTTAGGGTTCTCGATTGATGCATGCAAACAGAAGTAGAAGAATATGTAACTTCTGTTAAGATAACGCTTTCGTAAAATGTGAAATAACAATATGGCGGGCGAGCGAAAATTTCGGTTTGATAGTTTGATAGTGAAAATTTAATGAAATATTCGGGCTAGGCATGTAATATTTGGTACGGAGATAGGGCATATAACATAAGAACAAATACTTACTTACTTACTCATGGAGCTGAACCCTTCTTGAGAAGCCAAATCTGCAACTACTCAAGAATTTCCTAGCATTTTATGAAATTCGAAGGTTCATTACCGTTATCACAAGAGCACTCCACTGCTTCCTATCCTGAGCCAGATCAATCCAATCCATACCATCCTATCTCTCTAAGATCCATTTTAATATTGTCCACCTACCTACACAAATTATATATAGAAAATTTATGTAAATTAGCAGTTACAAACGTGATGAGATTGCAAAATCTTGTGGTTAACTCGACAATTATAAGTACTTTTAAACAACAATTTTCCATTAAGTAAAATAATATATAAATAATAATATTAAGAATATGTATGTATTGAAATGTATGCTGTAGGAAAATGGGCCTTACGGATTTTGGTCGGAACTTCTTGCAGTATTATCCTTGCAGCTATGCCTCGGCTTCCCAAGTTTTCTCCCTGGAGGATCCCTGTACTATATTTTGGTATGCTTTCCCATTTTGCCCGTCAGAGAGTGAACCCATTTCCGTAAGGATCCTAACAATAGACCCTAACAGATTGCGGGTACAAATTATTACATTCCTTGTTATCCTTCCGCTAGTTCCTCTAGAAGCCAGAACTCCAGCTGCGAGTTGTCTGGGATCGAACCGCAGACCAAAGAGCTAAGCAGACTGATTCCAGTAAACCTGCAGGGGCAGCGGTGTGGGTGACGGTGACAGCTCAATGTTGCGATGAGAACTCTCACTTCCTCTCTTTATCTCTCTTTGCGGCAACGAACGCAAGAAGCCATCCTTTCCTGCCTAATCACAAATGTTTACAATAAAGCAGATGTACTGAGGTCAAGGGAAAGCCCATGGCCTGAATTCCTTATCTTCATTGAACTGACGCGCTTTCCCGTCAAGCATACTCACTTCCAACCGTCTACCCATTCTGCTCACACGAATATTGATAGTGATAACCTCCTGATAACGCAGGCAGCCATCTTGGGGCCAGTTGTACAGCGTACTGAAGGAACAATACAAATATGGAAGACTGGTTCACGCGCAAAAACTGGAAGGGCATAATAACTGAAACATGGACTTATGAGATCTCCTAGAAAGGATGGTGGGCCCCACAGTCTGGAAATCACTGGCTTAGGAGAATGTGTGGCTAAAAAGAGAATTAGAGCACCTCTTACTGATGCGAAAGAAATATTCTTGCAACGTTCATAAAGTGAAAACTTATCTGGTCAAGATTTCAGTCTTCCATTATGTGACACAGTGAAGTTTAGTAGATCTGTAACCACGTTAGAAACTCAAATCTCACATACTTCGTCAGTTTGCATGTTGAGCTCTTAACAAACGCTAAACAGATTTGACTTAAATTTGGTACTGGGGATCTACACTGAAAGAAATATTTAATTCTAGTTTATATCGGTCAAATATAAACGCTACTTTACATGAAGTTCAAATCGAATTTTTCCATCATCTCTTAATACATAGCACAAAAACCTCTGTAAATGCTCAGTTGGTATAGTGTCGGGCTACGAACCGGACAGCCAAAGAGCTTGGTTTCGATTTCAGGCAGAGGTAAAAGGCTTTTCTCTTCTCCACCGAGCCTCCTACCTGATGTGCACCGGTGACTCTTTCACAGGGATAAGGGGGCAGGAGCGCGAAAATGACCACTCACTTCCATCTAGTGCCGAGGTTAAGAATGGAGGAGCTATATATCCACTCTTCCATGGAGTGGTGTTTAATTATTTAAGCACAGGGAAACTTTACGTTTACATGTTCTACAACATTCACCTTAAATATTCTCCTGGCTGGGGGGGGGAGGGCGGGGATTCGTGGAATAGTGTTTCTACTTGTGTATAGTGTGCTGATGTTTGTAATGAGATTAGTTTTCCAGCAAACAGATTTGTACGTAACAAACGAACAGCATGGGTGATTAGATACTCGAAGAAGCAAAAATAGCTTTTAGACAAGTGTCACGTTTTCTGTAACTTTCCTCTCTTTGTTATTTACTTACTCATGGAGCTGAGCCCTTCTTGAGGAGAAGCCAAATCTGCAGCTACACAAGAATTTTCCAGCATTTTATGGAACCTGAAGGTTCATTACAGTGTTCACAAGAGCCCTCCATTGGTCCCTATCCTGAGCCAGATCAAACCAATCCATACCATCATATTTCTCTAAGATCCATTTTAATACTGTCCACCCAGCTACGCCTTGGTCTTCCCAGTGGTCCCTTTCCTTCTGGTTTTCCCCACCAATATCCTATATGCATTCCTTTTCTCCCCCATTCGTGCTACATACCCTGCACACCTCATCCTCCTTGACTTTATCATTCTAATTAGTTTAAAGAACGTAAATTTTCCGGAAAGCAAATATAGTTTTAGAAACATCCCCCCTCCCCAATATATAGGCAGGTACCGTGGAAAGATATGACATCCACGTTTTGAAGTGAACAGCGCCATTTCACATGTATCTAGTTCACTTCGTCACACAACAGAATCAGGTCAACGAATCAGCCTGTCAGGCAGAAACCATTTCAGTGCTCAGTGACCCGACTTCACATCGGCCACTTCTTCAGAATCGTCCCGTGGAAATGAGAGGACACACGGACTGAGAGAGAGACAGAAACACTTGGTTTGCTTAAAACCACTTTGTAGGATATCGATCCGGGGGAAGAGCGTCGCAGGGTGCAGAGTTCACGACTAACATGCAGGAGAGACCATCCTGAGAATCTGATAGCTCTTCACCGGGCTCTTGTTCTGAATTATATTCTCATCCTTCAAGATTCATTTTGTAGATTCGGAGGAAAGTAAGCTTACAGCAGCAAGCAGAGTAATGGCTCTTCTCGGCTTACTTACCAATCCTGAAGATGGATGCAGTACATTCCTCCGAAACGTCAGTCCACATCTGCTAGATTACGCAGCATTACATCTCAGAAAATGTTACCTTTCACCTATTTTAATATTATACTTCCATCTGTTTCTGAGCAAAAATTTGTGCCAGCTCTCGTAATAATTGTGGCACGCAGTAGCGTAGTTGGTTGAGGCACTATGCTTAAAACTGGAAGGTAGCGGGTTCGATTCCCGATGAAGTCGTTGGATTTTAAAATTTACCTAATCCTTCCAGCCGCACTATGGCCCTGGTGTCGACTCAACCTCTAACAGAAATGAGTACCAGGAAAAGTGCGGTAGGCGCCTGAGGTTGACAACCTTACGGCCATCTGTGAGCAGACTGTCTAGAAAATGTGGGAGCCCCGACGTCTCACAACTCTGTAGGTCTCCACGGCCTGTTGCAGGTATAGTTTTACCTTTTACCTTTTTTATTGTAATCGTTAGCCACGCTAAGTATTCTGTAATTAGTTGTTAATGATTTATGAAAAACAGCCACAAAACTTAAATGTTTTACGCTGTCGCTATGACAACTGGCCTCCTTTTCCTTTAGACAAAAATTACCATAGTTCGTCTAACACTGAAAGGAACACGCAGCTTTTTTTTTCCTTCAGCTTTTGGAAATGAGGTCGTTCTGCCAACCCAAGCTGCCATTTGCGGTTTTCTGCATACAGAATAAATATAACAAGAAAGGTATTTATTATTTAAAATAAATAAAATCGCGCAACGGGTTAATCTAAACCACGCAATAAACAACTACAGGCTAAGGCATTTCTAGCATCCTGCAGCGTTTCTCCATTGCAGCCAACTAAAGCATTTCGAAGGAAAATGACATCGTAACATCCGGGGTCCGGATGAAAGGCATCCAAAATACAAAAATTGTATCTCGGAAAGTAATTGTCGTACACGTATCCGGTTTATGTCATCGGAAAGGAACACCCTGTAAGCTTGTTTTTTCCATGCCCGGCTTACGCGCATGCGCCGCCACATTTCTGCCACCATGTTAGGAATCACTTCGACAGAGAGATGGCTGGGAGATAGATCGGAAGAAGTGGAGCAAACACTTGGCCTCCTAGGTCGCCAGATTTAGCCCCACTGAATTTTTTCTTATGGGGTTATGTGAAGAACTTTGTCTACCAGGTTAAGACCAACGACCTTCAACGTCCGAAAGCCCGCATAAGGGACGCTGTGGCTACGGTAACACCAAACATGCTGGATCGTCTGGATATTTGTCGTGCCACCAAGGGAGCCCAGGTTGAAATTTATTGAGAAAGGTATACACGCAGAAAAAATTTTGATAGTTCCACTTTGTAGTGGTGTAACCTATAAATTTCTATAATAAAGCTTTCCGAGATTATTTTATTTTGGGTTCCTTTCATCCGGACATTCTGTATAGATCCTTGTACTTACATACTCGTAAGTATTGAACCTATTCGAAATGGTACTATTCTTCTTGTGCCTGAGGCCCATGTCATGAGGATGTAGAGCTCTGTGCATTCCTAACCTCGACTCTTTCCCGGAGATGAGTGATCTGCGTTTAACTCCAGTCGCTAAATGTCGGAGGAAAGGGGTCAGAGTATCGACTTGATTTCGATGCCCCAGGTGCGACGTG